TTATTTATCCATTTACCTACTGAAGTTCATCTTGGTTGCTTCCAAGTTTTGGCAATTATGAATAAAGTTGCTGTAAACATCATGTGCAGGATTTTGTGTGGACATAAGTTTTCGATTCATTTGGATAAATACCAAGGAGTGGGATTGTTGGATTGTATGGTAAGAGTATGTTTTGTTTTCTAAGAAACCACCAAAATGTCTTTCAAAGTGACTATACCATTTTGCACTGCTACCAGCCATGAATGGGAGTTCCTGTTGCTCTATTTTCTTGCCAGCATTTGGAGTTGTTGGTGTTTTGGACTTTGGCCATTCTAACAGGTGGGTAGTTTTACCTCAGTGTTATCTTAATTTGCTATTCTCTAATTATGTATGATGTTGAGTATCTTTTCTTTTGCTTACTGCTATCTGTATATCTTCTTTGGAAAGGTACTGATCAGATTTTCTGCCCATTTCTGAATTGGGTGGTTCATTTTCTTATTGTTGAGTTTTAAAAATTCTTTGCATATTTTGGATAACAATCCTTTATCAGATATCTTTTGGATATATTTTATCCCAGTTGTGGATTGTCTTCTTATTCTCTTGACAGTCTTTTGCAGAGAAGACATTTTTAATTTTAATGAAGTCCAGCTTATCAGCCCTTTCTTTCATGGTGCCTTTGGTGTTGTATCTAGAGTCATTGTGATACTCAAGGTCATTTAGGTTTTCTCCTATGTTATCCTCTAGGAGACAGTTTTATAGTTTCGTGTTTTATATATAGGTGTATTATCTATTCTGAGTTAATTTTTGTGAAGGGTACAAGGTCCGTGTCTAGATATATACATATATTTTTGCATGTGGATGTCCAGTTGAAAAGCCCCATTTGTTGAAAAGACTACGCTTATTTAATTTTCAAAACAAAATTTGAGGGAGGGAGTCACTGTTATTATCCCAATTTTTTAGATGTACAAAGTGAAGCACAGAGGGGTTTTATAAATCACCCAGAGTAACACAGCTAGTACTTGACAGAACTGAGATTTGAACCCAGGAAATCCAGCTCCAGAGTACATGCGCTCAACCCCTATCTATAATAATAATGTCTCCCTCATAGGTTCATTGTGAGGAATAGAGACAGTGTCTAGTGCATAGTAGGTATTCAGGAAACACTAATGACAGTCATTGTCCTACCTAGCCTTCAAGTTTCTGCTCAAATGTCATGTTTTTGTTTTATGTTTTTTTTTCTTTTTTGGAGACAAAGTCTTGCTCTGTTGCCCAGGCTGGAGTACAGTGGCACAATCTCAGCTCACTGCAATCTCTGCTTCCCAGGTTCAAGAGATTCTGCTGCCTCAGCCTCCCAAAGTGCTGGGATTACAGCCATAAGCCACCACACCTGGCCTCAAATGTCATTTTTGAAGCAGCTCTTCTCACTCCTCAAGCCAAGTAAACCTCCCATCATAGCGCCTATCTCATCATCCAAGTTATGCCAGCGTGGTGAACCCTACTACTGTCACAGTTCAGCTCTACCTGTTCCCATGTGATTTCCCTGGAGATATGCCGCTGTCACCCCAAGTGCCTGGGGCTGTACTTGTCACTTAGCAGGCAGTTTGTTAAATTGAGTTTGAGTTGCATGTAATTCCAAAATGTGTATCCTGCCTGGGTCTATTTCTCAGGAACCCCTAACTCTTACTCAAGTCTTTGCTCCTGAGCCTCCCTGCTCCAACCTTCCCTGGTCTGTCAGGTTGGGCCATCCTTGCCTGGAGAAGTTCCTGTTTGGGCTGTCTAGGGAGGCAGCTGTCTTTGTCTGCTACACCCTTCTTCCTGCACCACCCCACTCAGTTTCTTCCATGTTCTGGCACACACCCCAGCATGGTCACTGCCCAGAGAAGCGTTCACGTTTCTTCCTCTCTCCAAACTTCAGACATAGCACCTATCTTGGAGGCCTGGTCTCTGGATGTCCCTTGGCCTCTCCCAGGAAGTATCAACTTTCTTCTTGGTGGGTAGAGCAGCTCACTTGATATTTACAGGACGCCGTGGACCCAGGGACAGACTGCATTCCAAGGAGCTTCTGAAAGTATTAATCTTAGCATTGGTGAACTCCTTCAGGGAGTGAGTGGCACTTACAGCCGTGTCCCCTGGGCCCTCATACGCCTCTTGATCCACTCCACTTTGAGACAGGGCTCTATCAGACCAAGCTATTGGGAATCAGTTCTCACCTTGGGGAGTGCATTCTGGCAGTGCTATCTCGGACAAGGCAGGCAGTGCCTGCTATGGACTGAGTCTGGGGCACCATCCAGCAGGGTCCTGTGTGTGCCTCTGCAGAGCCACCTTGGGAAGAGATGGCCAATTGCTTCCTCTAGACAGCACTATCTTGAGCACAGCCTGCAGAGTTCGGTGCCTGCCTTGGACAGCCTCTCTTCCATATGTGCATCGTGATATTGATGCCTGTCCCGGGAAGTGCCACTCAGCCCCTTTCAGACGCTTTTCAGACAGCCTCCAGTGCCCAGTGCAGACAGAAACTCCAGGCAGGGCCTCTCTCGGACACAGCGAGAGGGGCTTCGGAGCCCACTGAGGACGGAGGCTCCCAGGGCAGCGCCCGTGCCCGCCTGGCCCACGTCTGGAGGCGCGTACTGGCGGTGCCGGGCAGGGCGGGCGTTTATCCCCAGAGCCGCCAGCAGGGAGCTCCCTTTCGGCTCCGCTCGCGCGGTCGCGGGGGGCGGCGCTGAGCTGCGCTGAGCTGCGCCGCGCTGCGCTCCTCTCCAGCCCCGACCGGGCCGGGGCCGCTGGATGCCGCGTCTCCGCTTCTGCTGCCTGCCGGGCGGGCTCCGGCGGCCGGTGAGTGCTGGTCAGCGGGGGCAGCCGCTCCGTGGCGGGCCGGGCCCGGTGGGGCGGCGGGGCGGGATCCGGCCGGGCGGGCGGGCGGCGGGGCCCGCCGGCTCCTCCTCCTCCCCTGTCCCCTGGAAGCAGCGGCCCGGACTCCCGGCTCCAGTCCCTGGCGGCGCCGTGGAGCTCGACGCCCGGGGGTGGGGGCCGACCGGGAGCGGCGGGGAAGGGGGACCACCGGCCCCTCCTGCCAACCTGGGGGCGCAGGGAGGCAGGACAGGGTGGCTTTTAGTGTGGGGGGATTTGGCGCTTGGAGGCGCCCAGGTGGCCCGGAGCTGAGGGGTGGGGGGCTTCTCCGGGCCCGGCCCAGGCCCCCCGATGGAGCGAGTGAGCGAGCGGGGCGCTGGGAAAGGCAGCGGCGAAGGCGAGCACCTCTACCGAGCCTTTTATCCCTCCCAGCGGCCTTCACTCTTTCACTGCCGGGCCGACAGCGGGCTCCTCTCAAAGGAGCAGCTGCTAGACAGCTGGCAAAACAATGGAGACCCCGCTTCCCTGGGCCCCCTCCTCTTGGGACAGAAGATGGGGAGTGGGTGAATGGTGGCTGGCTTTGGGGATTAGGGAGTGCAGGCTGTGACCTGCGACTGAATGCTCACCTCACCTTTTCCTGTAGAGGGGTGGGGTGCGTGTGGGAAGGTCGGACGGGCTGCCCCAGGCCTCTGGAGAGACCGCCCCGACGCCCCGCCCTGCTAACCTGTCATGCCAGTTGTTTCGCCAATGGGAAGGGGAGGTGGTAGGGTGGCTGCCCCCTCACCCTGGCCCCTGTTAGTGGGGGGACGCTCCTTGGTCCTAAGCCAGGCCAGGAGTGTGGGTCCTGTTCCTGGGTGCGATAAAGGCCGCAGGGACCGGCCAGGCTTTGGGGCTTTGTTGCGGGGGCGGAAATGGGGGAGTTGCCCTACTGCTAGGCACATGTGTCTTGCTGATTAGTTGGAAAGGCTGTGGCCCGAATAAGCCAGAGGTGGGGGGTGGGGGAGATGGGGAGGAAGACAGCCAGTTTGTTTTTGAGCCGGCATTAATTTTGCCTGGTCACTTGGCCAATGGGGCATGTGTTTGGCGCTGGCCTCACAGTTTGTGTTTGTGTAGGGAGGGCTGGGGGAATGCTTCCTGAGAGGGACTGCCCTGGCTAGGCCTTCATGCCCTCAGATGGCCGCCCAGAAGTATAGAATTGGGTTCCCTCCCCACTTCACCCTGCCAATGACTCGGGCTAGTGTGGATTCGTCTTGTCTTTTGGAGCCCCTGGTGTGTCTGTGGCCGAGGAAGCCTCATCAGTGCCCCTGTGGTGACTGAGCTCTGGGAAGTGTGTATGCATTGTGGCGTGCTGGAAGGGAGGGGAGGCCACCTGGGTGATTAAGAGCAAGATCACCTGAGCAGGACGGTGAGTACAGAGCCCATTGAACCGAGCTGCCTTTCCCTTGTGCTGTGGAGCCCTTTCTTGAGCAGGTGGTGCCCTGTTGTCGTGGCAACAGGCCTGGCCTAATGTTCCCCACACTTTTTAGTTCAGGGGCTACTTTCTATTTGGGGATGTTGAAAGTTGCTCTCCTGAGGTCTCTGGCTTCCTGACAAGCCTCCCTGGCTCTTTGTCCATGGCTTCCCACCTCTTCAGCTTCCCCTCTGTTTTTTTTGTGATGAAGTCTTTCCAGGAAACATCCTCCTGGTTTCTGGATTTGACATGCGGGTTATATATAGCCTCTAGTGGAGGTGTGCTTGTCCATTTTGGGTTGAGGACATTGGGGTTGTGACCTCAATTCCAGGAAAACTATGGCTTTTGGGGGCAGCTATTGTGCTGGGGGGATTAGAGGAATGAGAAGGGTTGTAGGTGGGGGTGGGGGTGGGGCTGGGGGTGGGGCTGGGGAGTGGGCATGGGAGGGGCAACAGGCCGATGGTCACTTCCTTTGGGAGCTTTGAACTTTAAACAGTTGATGACCTGGTGCCTGGTAGCTCTGAGTGTGTAGTTTGTTTACTCTCTCCTGGCCTGGCCCAGGTGCCAGAGTGTGTGCCTGAGGGCTTCCTCCTGCACCCCAGACTTTCCTCAGGAGGGTATGCCCTTCCTGACTCCCGCCTGGTCTCGGCCTCACTCTTGGGCCGTCTGTGAAGGCCCCCTCACTGGCCCTGCTAGGGGTTGTTCATTGAGGGTTGCATATGTCTTCAGAAGCTGGGCCTCAAAACTCTGGGTCCCCCAGAGGCAGGTACCTGAAGGTGGATTGGGTGGGGCAGAACTGGGGCTCAAGCGAAAGGGAGAATCCACCCTTCTGAGGTGGAGCTGGGAGTTGCTGGAACTCAGGAAACCTTGATCCCGACGTGGTGTGTCACAGGTCTCCAGGGCAGCAAGGTTGTTCTTACTCCTTCAAACCAGAGGTCTGTCCCCAGCCAGATCCCCTCACCTGGAGTGGACACCACAGGCAGGAGCCAGAGCATCCCTGTGAGTTTGGTTTTGTTGGTGGTCTGGGGCCCCAGGCCTGAGTGTGGTGGAAAAACTGAGGGGCTCTGGCTGGTTGTAGTTTAAAGTTTTGGGGGTAGGAAGGCCCAGCCCACTGTCTGCTGTAATTGACAGGTTCCCACAGGACTTGAGATTGGTATGGGGACTTGATGGAGTTTAAGTTCTGCTTTGGGTCAGACCCCCGGGTGCTTTTTCTCTGATATTCAGACAGGTTGGACGATGAGCCGAAGGTCACACAGCAAGTCCGAGGCAGAGCGGGGTTAAAACCTGCAGTGTGTGGTTGAGCAGAATACCTCTCCAGCAGAGGCCGAGGGCCAAGTCTGAGCTCTCAGGCCCTTGGAGATACTGTAGCTGAAATAGTGGAGGCCTAGAGAGGGAAGGGGACTTGCTCAAGGTCACACGGAAGCGGGTGTTAGCCGAGCTGAGTGCCAGGCGGTGTACCTGGAAGAGCAGCAGGGGACCTGACGGGGCCGCGGGATTGCTGCGTTCCGGGGGAGACGGGATCGCAGCGGGAGGCTCCGCAGGGCTGCGGCTGCGCCGGCCCAGCCGCCGGGAAGCGCCGAGGGCCGCCCAGCTCCCCGTGCGGCTGCGGGCGGGCCAGCTGATGTCACGTGAGAAGCGTGCGGTGGGAGTGAGGGAGCACACCTGGAGCCAGAGAAGCTCCGTGTGACCTGGCAGGGAGTCACCCGGAGCTGCAGAGCTCGGCATGGCCGGCCAGGAGGAGGCTCCCTCTGGGGCGTGGGTCCGGGCCAGGTGCTGGCGACCCCTCCGGCCGCCGCTGCAATCCTCGGCGCTGGCCAGAGCCGGAATGGGGACCCCGGGGCTGGAGGAAACAGCCACTCAGGGAGGTCAGAGGCCAAGGGAGAGAAGCCGGCTCTCTCGGGAAAGTATTTCCTTTGTATTTATTTATGAGTGTGGTCGGGGGGTTGGGGTGGGAGGACTGACCTAAGTATCCACCCACTGCAGCCAAGTCTGGGCGCCCTTGTCTTGGGACTCTCTAACGTTATAGTTTCCATTTCCTGTATTTTTTTTTCCTTTCTTTTGCCAGCTGCTGGGTGACCCATTTAAATGTGTCCCCACTTACGGCCACAAAACACCAGTGAGCTCTTTTTTAACTAAGTCCCCCAAGTCACTGAAACTTTTTCAAGACATGAAAATCCTTAAATTGACCATTACCCTGTTTGCAGCTTTACTGCTAGTGGATTGCCTACTAGTTTGTCCAGACATTTTTTTTTTTTTGGTCTGGAAAAAAGTTGATTCTTTAGGTAGAAAGCTAAAGCATTACAAAAGTGTTACCTTTCTTCTTCCCTACTCTCCAGAGATGATCACTGATCAATTTTTGGATTGATTGCTTTTTAAAAGCTTGTTATATATATTTTAGGCATTATATATGTTTATAATTTAATATGTGTTATATAAAATATCATGTAAATACTTTAAAAATTTCTGTAGGAGGCTGGATGCAGTGGCTCACACCTGTAATCCCAGGACTTTGGGAGGCTGAGGTAGGCAGATTGCTTGGGCCCAGGAATTTGAGACCAGGCTGGACAACATGGCGAGAACCTGTCTCCTCAAAAAATACAAAATACAAAAATTAGCTGGGTGTAGTGGTACATGCCTGTAGTCCCAGTTACTCAGGAGGCTGAGGTGGGAAGGATTGCTTGAGCCCCAGGAGGTTGAGGCTGCAATGAGCCAAGATCACACCACCCCATTCTGGATGACACAGTGAGACTCTGTCTAAAAAAAAAAAAAAAAGAAAAAGAAGAAAGGAAGAACAATGATACATAATCCCACTCCCTAAAGCTCCTAGGTGTAAGCAAATACACGTTTACCAGATGAATGTTCTTGCAAAAAAATTAAAATACAGCCCAGATGTGGTGGCCTATGCCTATAATCTCAGCCCTTTGGAGGCCAAGGTAGGTGGACATCTTGAAGCTAGGAGTTCGAGATAAGCCTGACTAACATGGTGAGACCCCATCTCTATTATTTTAAAAAAGAAAAAATATTGAAATATGGATGAAACACAAGTCTATTAGACCCTTCTAAAATTCCAGTCTCCTCCCCAGAGCATATGATTTTCCTATGCATATGCAAATATTGTACACAATGTACATGTAATATATTCACACACGTATATATAGGTTTTTAAATTTTAGCAAAATTACGAACTATCCTGCAACCTGTTGTTTTCACTTAGCAATGTAGTATAGAATCTTTTCAGGTCAGTATACACAAATTTTATATTTGTAGATTTGCTATTATAAACAATGCTTCAAGGATTAGCCGTATGCATTGTGTGAATGTACCTATGGATGTCTTATAATGGAATTGCCCAAATAATATGTACACAAATATTTTCATATACCAGGTGCAGTGGTGGTGCCTGTAATCCTAGCTACTCTGGAGGATGAGGCAGGAGGATTGCTTGGGGCCAGGAGTTTGAGAGCAGCCTGGGCAGCCTAGCAAGACCTTGTCTGTAAAACAATTTTTAAAAAATTAGTCAAGAGTGGTGGTGCACACCTGTAGTCTCAACTACTCAGGAGCCTGAGACAGGAGGATCACTTGAGCCCAGGAGTTCAAGTCAGCAGTGATCTATGATTGAGCCACCAAACTCTAGCCTTGGTGACAAAACAAGACCTTGTGTCTTAAATTTCTTTTTTTTTTTTTTTTTTACAAATACCACTAACTTGCCCTTTGGAAAGATATTAGTTGGTGCAAAAGTAATTACGGTTTTTGCCATTTAAAAGTAGCAGCGGCCAGGCAAGGTGGCTCGCGCCTGTAATCCCAGCACTTTGGGAGGCCAAGGTGGGTGGATCACAAGGTCAGGAGTTCGAGACTAGCCTGGCCAATATGATGAAACCCCATCTCTACTAAAAATACAAAAATTAGCTGGGCGTGGTGGTGGGCACCTGTACTCCCAGCTACTCAGAAGGCTGAGACAGGAGAATCGCTTGCACCTGGGAAGCATTTGCAGTGAGCCAAGATTGTGCCATTGCACTCTAGCCCGGGTGACAGAGCGAGACTCTGTCTCAAAAAAAAACAAGAAAAGTAATGGCAAAAACCGCAATTACTTTGCACCAACCTACCAATTTGTGTTTCCAGCAACACTTACGAAAATCTCTGCATCCCATGGCCTAATTGATTGATGTTATCTATCTTGAGAGTTTTTAACTAAACTGCTAATTAAAAAATAGTATACCTCAGTTTCACATGTCTGTGAATATTGTGGAGGCTGAATACCTGTTGATGTTTGCTGGTCATTTGTATGTCTGCCCCTATGAATTGGCTGTCCATAGTATCCTTGGCATTAGCTATATGGGGCCTCTGGACTCAAGCCAGTGTGATCAGCTTGGCCTTGTGCTTGTCAGGTTACCTTCACTTCTTTGTGCTTTACTTTTCATGTACAAAGGTTTTGACTTATTTTAGTCATGCTTGTTCTGATAGTCATTTGTGCACTCTGTTATCCTCTCTACTGTCCCATTTAGATGGCAAAAAATGTGCCCTGCTACTATTAGGTACCTCTCTATGGGCTAGACATTATATGAAAGGCTTTTTTTTTTTTTTTGCAACGGAGTCTTGCTCTGTTGCCAGGCTGGAGCACAGTGGCGCAGTCTCGGCTCGCTGCAACCTCTGCCTCCTGGGTTCAAGCGATTCTTCCGCCTAAGCCTCCCGAGTAGCTGGGACTACAGGCGCGTGCCAAACGCCTGGCTAATTTTTGTATTTTAGTAGAGACGGGGTTTCACCGTGTTGGCCAGGATAGTCTCAATCTCTTGACCTCGTGATCCACCCACCTTGGCCTCCCAAAGTACTAGGATTACAGGTGTGAGCCACCGCGCCCAGCCTTGAAGGGATTATATATGTATTTCATTTAATTCCCCCACCTTAGGTAGTAGGTACCATTATAATCTCCATTTTACAGGTGGGGAAATGGAGGCATGGAGGCCTTAAGTGGCTTGCCTGAGATTGCATATTTACTAATATTTTTTTCATTTTTATTTTATTTATTTGAGATGGAGACTTGCTCTGCCGCCCAGGGTGGAGTGCAGTGGTGCAATCTTGGCTCACTGCATCCTCCACCTCCAGGTTCAAGCAATTCTCCTGCCTCAGCCTCCTGAGTAGCTGGGATTACGGGCTCGCGCCACCATGCCCAGCTAATTTGTATTTTTAGTAGAGACAGGGTCTTACTAAACCCACCAAGGACCAGGCTGGTTTTGATTTAGCCCCCAGAATGTTGACCAGGCTGGTTTTGAACTCCTGATCTCGGGTGACCTGCCCACCTTGGCCTCCCAAAGTGCTAGGATTACAGGCATGAGCCACCACGCCCGTCCCCATTTACTCAGATTTGTTCTCAGATTTGTTACTTGATATGCAAAGCCCAAACTCTGACACTGGGCTTCTTTATCTTTATGTTGCTTGCCTTTAGGAAGTGACTGATGGATACATATTTTTTCCCAACATTTTATCACAACAATCTGCAAGCGTTCAGAAAAGTTAAATAATTTTGCAATGAACATCCCTCATCTCCTAGATTCTACAGTTAACATTTTCCTATCCTTGCTTTTACCTAATTTTTATCCCTTGGTCCATCCATCAGGCTATGGTTTTTTTTCTTTGTTTTCTTTCTTTCTTTCTTTTTTTTTTTTTTTTTTGAGACACGGTCTCACTCTGTTACCCAGGCTGGAATGCAATGGCATGATCGTGGCTCACTGTAGCCTCAACCTCCCAGGCTCAGGTGATGTTCCCACCTTAGCCTCCCAAATAGCTCCCACAGGTGTGCACCACCACATCCAGATAACTTTTTGTATTTTTAGTAGAGACAGGGATTTGCCATGTTGCTCCAGCTTGTCTCCAACCCCTGAGCTCAAGCAATCCGCCCGTCTCAGCCTCCCAGAGTGTTGGGATTATAGGTGTGAGCCACCTTCCTCAATCTCATCAAGCTATCTCAAAATTTTACACATCTCAAAGTAAATTGTAGACATCAGTATACTTCACCCCAAATACTTTAACATATATATCATTCACTAGAGTTCAACATTTGTTTATAGTTCTTTAATTTTGAATGAATATTTACAAACAATGAATGCACAAATCTTATGTGCACCATTTGATGACTTGACACATTTATCAACCCAAACCGCTATCAATATACAGGATATAAGTATCACCCAGTAAAGTTCCCTCATGTAATCCCACTCCTACCCCCATCATTGGTTAGTTCTGCCTGCACTAGAACGTCATATAAATAGAATCTTGCCAGTATGTACTCTTTTTCAAAGACTTCTTTCCCTCTCACTTGACATCATGATTTTGAAGTTCATCCCTGTTGTGTGTACCTTTGGCTGTTTCCTTTTTCTTGCTGAGTAGTATTCCCTTGCATGAATATGAGAATTGTTTATGCACTCTCTGATGGACAGATAGATGTATATTTGAGTTGAACAGTCCTTGCCTTCAGGATGCTTACTCTCTTAAAGCGATAGAGCAGCTGAGTTGACAGATTGTACTTTCCTTTTGTTTTGGGGGTTAGTAAGGTCAAGATAATTCAGGTCCATACCCTAACTTACATACATACCATTCCTTCTCTTAAAATTAGGAAAAGCTTCTTAGAGTATGGTGAGGAGAGAAAGTCAGAGAAGGAGGTCAGGGAAGTTGTAAAGTTACCTTCACTGGAGCGGAGGGAGAGGGTAGGAGGAAGAGGAAGGGGAAGCAGATTGAAACTGCAGCCTGGGATGCAGGGTAGGAAGGTGGTGGTGTCAGAGCTGTTGGAGGCTTTGGACCTGAGGCCAGGAGGTGCTGGAAAGTACAGGGTCTACAAGAAGGTGATGGAGCAGCAGCTATATTGCAGATCTGATCATGGACGGGAGGCTGCAGGCAGCCAGGCAGCTCTAGACATGTGACTCAGGAGAGAACCAGTCCACAGCCAGGCCTGATGATTATGGGGATGGCAGTGGGGAGGAGGTGCCTTGTGAGCTGTGTAGATGGTGGTAGCAGGACAGGGGTGGTGAGGGAAGGGCTGGCATAGCCTCATTCTCTCAAGGCCCCAGAGTTGGGATGAGAGGGGTGGCTTTGGCAGAAGGTTAGTAATTTAACCTGTGTCCCCAGGAGACTTAAATATTTAGAATTTTAGAGCCAGAAGAGACCTAGATCGTGTAGTTCAACCTTGAACAAAGTGACAGGCTAAGGTTCCCGCAGTGATTTTTTTGGCAGATCCAGGCCTAGATACCAAATCTCCTGAAACATCTGACCAGCACCATCCTGTGTGCTGCTGCTGTGACCGACTACTGTTCCTCCCTGCCACAATGACAGTGAGGAACAAGCTTTCGCTGAGTTGGGGGTGTCCATGAAATTACTTTTCAGGGACCTTTCCAGCCCAAAGATCCTAGAATGCTGGGAGCTCTTTTCCACTCATATTCCTCAGTGATCCAGTCCTCAGCAAAGAGCCAGGATTGGGTGAGCATTATAGACAGAGAATTGGGTGTCTTGGTGGGACAGCATTATAGGCAGTTGGGTTCTCTATGGTTGGATTGAGGCCAAGATACTCTTGTTTGTCCCATCCAAGTCCCCAGGGTGGATTTATTTCATTTCTCCCACAAGTACCCCTGGAGTTATCTTCTAAACCATCCCTTTAAGATGGTACAGGCAGTGGTGGGTGAGGTTAAAAGGTGGCAGTAACAGTTGAAGATCCTACATCTCGGTTTATGGTAGGACTGTGCCACACCCCATCAGCATTGAGGAGGAGAGAGACTCCCCTTGTCATAGTAGAGCCCTGAGGAGACAATGCTGGCTGTCAGATACTCCTCCACCCCAAATCAGTCCAGACCTAGCTGGCCAAGGGCCCTTGCTGTGTGCCTTTTGGGCCCTGGATTTCCTGTTTTCTAACTCCCAGGTACTGTGCATGTAGCATTTAGAATGAACACGTTCAGAGAGAACTTTGTTTTACCAAATACAAACTGAAGTCAGAGAGGGAAAAGGGTTCATACTAGGCACACAGAGATATAGTGACTGGACCAGATGTCCCTTTTTTTTGGAGACAGAGTCTCTCTCTGTTGCCCACGCTGAAGTGCAGTGGCGTGATCTTGGCTTATTGCAACCTCTGCCTCCCAGGTTCAAGAGCTTATCATGCCTCAGCCACCCAAATGGGATTACAGGTGTGTGCCATCACACCTGGCTAATTTTTGTATTTTTAGTAGCGACGGGGTTCTGCCATATTGGCCAGGCTGGTCTCGAACTCCTGACCTCGGGTGATCCACCCGCTTCAGCCTTTCAAAGTGCTGGGCTTACAGGTGTGAGTGAATTTCTGACCTCAAGTGATCAGAAATTTCTGAACTCAAGTGATCCACCTGCCTTGGCCTCCCCAAGTATTGGGGATTACAGGCATGAACCACTGCACCTGGCTTTGAATTATATTTCTTATGGACAGCACTGCTCTAGAAAGGAGATGAGTTGGTATGCCAGGAGCGACATAAGTCAGGATGCTGGGCAGGGGGAAGCAGTTAGCCATTGCACTGGGGCCTTTGGGAATTTCTGACCTTGATGCCTTCCTGAGCATTGTACCTGGGTTGAAGGGTGGTCCCTCTCAGTAGAATGGGGATCCTGGAGGGCACTGATTGGTTGTGGGGGTGAGGCACACAGAGAGGAAAGGCCTGTACAGGGCCTGGCGAGAGGCTATTACTAGAAAGGGTAAGTTTGTAGATCCTCTGTTTGAAACTCAGAGGCATAGGCTTTCAGAGAGAGAGAGAAAAATTCATTTGATTTCCAATTAGGTGGCATGGCCTATTTCTTCTTCTTGTTCCCTGCTGGTTAGAAGAAGAAAGGCTCTCTCAACTCTTGCCTCATCAGGCTTTTCTCGGTCCTGTCCCCAGTTAGATGTGCAGGGGGATGGGTAGGTTGGCGCCATGGTTGCACGTACTCAGGGGCTGGGTTTTTTCTTTCAGGCGACCACAGCTTTCTTCCTGGGGCTATATTTAGGTGTTGGTCTGGGGAAAAGGATGTGAATTTTTTAGGATCCTGTTTATCCAGCAGACCCTACCCCACCCCCACCTCGCAGCTGTCTATCCTCTGGTCTGGAACTTCCCTTCCTTCCCTTGCTGCTTTACTTTGGTCACCCAGGCCCTAGAAAGAACTCAATATTTGCCATTGAATCCCAGCATCACCACTTATTAGCTGTATGACAACATATGCTTAATTTTCTGTGTCCCATTTTCCTCTTTTGTGCAGTGGAGATAATGATATCTACCTTGCAGGAATGCTGTGAGGCTCAAAGGAGATAGTACATGTAAAGTGCCTGGCATTATGCTAGCAAGTGGTAGTCATTAAATAAATGTTGGTTCTTTTGAGGTCTTCTCTTAGGCAGTGGCTAAGGATGCTGCTCAGGGGTAACAGGCTCAGCAAAGAGCCCAAAGAATGGGATGTCTGTTGCTTAAATGAACATTGTCTGTGGGAGGTGATGGTGCACTGAGACCATTTCCTTTTCCCTTTGTGTTTGAATCTTTTTTATTTTTTTTTTGACAGGCCGGAGTACAGTGGTGTGATCATAGTTCACTGCAGCCTTGACCTCCTGGGCTTAAGAAATCTTCAGCTTCCAAGTAGCTAGGACTGCAGGTGTGCACCACCATGCCTGGCTAATTTTTGTAGAGATGGGATCTCACTATGTTGCCCAGGCTGGTCTTAAACTCCTAGCCTCAATCTTGCTTCAGCCTCCCAAAAGTGCCAGGATTACAGGCGTGAGCCACCGTGCCCAGTCTGTGTTTGAATCTCAAGTCAGGTCCCAGGTTGGCTTGAAATATCCTCTCACCGGGAGGTCAGGTCTCCCAGATACTACCTCCAGGTACACCTAAGTCTATCAGGCGTTCAAGGAAATGACAGGCTTTGGAATCTGGGCTTTTACCGCCGTATCTGAACCTGAAGTTTCATTATTTGTAAAATGGGATAATAGTACCTACCTCTAGAAAGGTTGTAAGGATTAAATCAATGGAGACAATATTGGGTAAAGCAGAGTGCCTGGCACATAGCTAGCACCCAGTGAGGAGCAGCTGTATCTTTGTTACGTCTGGACTGGAGACACATGGGGTTCTGTTTGAATAACCCTTCTCTCTATGTTTCTGTTTGTAGCAGCAAAGTGGGGCACCAAGGCCCTCTGCTAAGGACTCATAATTCACTGGGGGCGCCACCCCTACAAACAGCACCCACCATGTTTAACCTAATGAAGAAAGACAAGGACAAAGATGGTGGGCGCAAGGAGAAGAAGGAAAAGAAGGAGAAAAAGGAAAGGATGTCAGCCGCAGAACTCCGGAGCCTGGAGGAGATGAGCCTGCGACGTGGTTTCTTCAACCTGAACCGATCCTCCAAGCGTGAATCCAAGACGCGCCTGGAAATCTCCAACCCCATCCCCATCAAGGTGGCCAGCGGCTCTGACCTGCACCTGACTGACATTGACTCCGACAGTAACCGGGGCAGCGTCATCTTGGACTCGGGCCACCTAAGTACAGCCAGCTCCAGCGATGACCTCAAGGGTGAGGAGGGCAGCTTCCGCGGCTCGGTGCTGCAGCGGGCAGCCAAGTTCGGCTCACTGGCCAAGCAGAACTCACAGATGATTGTCAAGCGCTTTTCCTTCTCCCAGCGTAGCCGGGATGAGAGCGCCTCAGAAACCTCGACGCCCTCAGAGCACTCTGCCGCCCCCTCGCCACAGGTGGAGGTGAGGACTCTGGAGGGACAGCTGGTGCAACATCCTGGCCCAGGCATCCCTCGAGCAGGGCACCGATCCGGAGCCCCTGAGCTGGTGACTAAAAAGTTCCCAGCCGACCTGCGCCTGCCCCCCGTGGTGCCCCTGCCCCCACCTGCCCTCCGGGAGCTGGAGCTGCAACGACGGCCCACTGGAGACTTTGGCTTCTCCCTGCGCCGCACAACTATGCTGGATCGGGGCCCCGAGGGCCAGGCCTATCGGCGGGTGGTCCACTTTGCTGAGCCCGGTGCAGGCACCAAGGACCTCGCCCTGGGGCTGGTGCCAGGAGATCGACTGGTGGAGATTAATGGGCACAACGTGGAGAGCAAGTCCAGGGATGAGATTGTGGAGATGATCCGGCAGTCAGGGGACAGCGTGCGGCTCAAGGTGCAGCCCATTCCGGAGCTCAGCGAGCTCAGCAGAAGCTGGCTGCGAAGCAGCGAGGGACCCCGCAGGGAGCCAGCCGATGTGAGTCCTTCCCTGGGCACCTGGGCTGAGCAGAGATGGGAAATGTGGGCCCCTCCTGCTGTTGTGCTTGGCCGGGTATTTGGGGTACCCAAGAGCTGCGATCAGAGCCCAGCAATGTGTAAGTGGGGAGGCTGTGCTGCTCTCTGAGCCTGTGGGGAGCATAAGCTTAGGAGAAGGTGCCCCATGCTGATAATCTTCTGGGGGTGCCACCCCTACAAACATCACGCCCAACCTAATGAAGAAAGACAAGGATATTAAAGGAGTCATACTTTGTTTCTTTACCTTGTTCTGGGAGCTGAGGACAGGTCCGCAAAGGGTTATTGCAGTAGGGTTCCCAGCAGTTTGGCCAGGCCTCATGATTTTATGGTTCCCTCCAGTGTTCTGTGTCTGTTGGATTGACCTAACTGAATTCAGTGTAATGCCTTTCTCAAGGGTGCAGGGCTAGACCAAGCTCTGCCTGAACTTTAGCTGCAGCTCTGGAGCCCTCGAGAGAGGCCTGTTATTGGTTAGTAATTACTGTGAAAGTATTCAGCTTCTTCACTACAAGGACCAGTTATGGGTTTGGGCACCATATTTCCTGAGCTCTAAATTGGGGCATGTAGGCTAACATGTCACTTCCAGGTATAAGAGACAATCTGGACAGTAAAATACAATATTTCCATGTTATTTAGATCTTGGGGATAAAAAAGACAAATGATTTCAGATTAGAGCTGTCATGGAACATCTGAGAGGTACAGCTGGTATACTTATATCTTTGGGAAATATGACCTCAGGCCACAGACTCCTCTTGCCCCTGAGTGAGCAAGGGAATACCAGGTGAGGCTGCAGAGAGGGCAGAGGCAGATTGCGGAGGACCTTGTAAGTTACAGTTGGAATTCAGATTTCATTCCAGTGAAATGGGACCATTGAAGGGTTCGAAGCAGAGGAGTAACTAGATCTAATTTATAAAGGTCCCTTGGACTCCAAGCGTCTTTATTACCTCTCCTGGAAGGAGAAAAAGCGTGGACCTGGAAAAGCAAGAGGGATAAAACCTAAACAGATAGTATGTCCTGACAGTCTCTGAGACCCCAGCTGCCAACCTGCCCACACAAAAAGAACAGCAGGAGGCACAGGAGCAGGGAGGTTTAGATCAGATGCAGGGGCAGATCTCCATGGTGCAACAAGCTCACTAACCCCAGGGGTCTTTTGATACAATGGCTACATAGCAGTTTGAATGTCCTGCCTGGAGATAGTGCATGAAGGACAAGTTGTCCTCTGGCCATCTTCCCCTCCCAGCTGTGGGTTTTAGGACCATCCAGATCTGGCCCCTGCTGCCTGACCAACGCATGGCCTGGCCAGGACCTTTTGGTACTAAGTGACCAGCCAGATGGGTCAAAATCAGAAATGGGAGGAAGTGCTAATGGGAGGAAATAGGCAGAGTCCCGGTCCCAGCTTTCTCCCAGGGAGGGGAAGCGGCTGCTAAGGATAACTGCTCAACCCAGCAGCACCTTGGGCCTGAAGCGGGGCTGGCAGTGGCAGGGTCAGACTGGCAGGAAGCCCTGCAGTTGGATTCCAGGCCTTCCTTTAACCTGGAGCTAGCTGGGTTTAGGCAGCTTTGCTAGTCGGGGAAGGATAATGAATGGGAGGAGGCCTGTATGGAAGACCTGGACTCTTCATTCCAGAAGCACACATTGAGCACCTCCTATGTTTTAGCCACCAGGTTAGGTGGAACTCAGAGAACCACAAGGTAGAGGGGGAAGGACAAAGGAGGGGTCTTTATCTCAGAAGCAATGACTGTAACATGTTGCCATGTCTGCATGCGTTCTTCCAGGTTAACACTGCTTTTAACAGATGGAATTTTCTTCTAAAGAATGAATCCCCCAGGGGATTGTTGCCAGCTCCCTGCTGAACCACAGCAAGGACTCTATGGGGCCCTGGGCCTGGCATCCCAGATGCTGTTTGATTTTCTCTTTATAGCACAGGGATCATCCTGGCATCTCACATTTCCTAGCGTTCCTTTCCCAAGTAGCTGCTGCTATCCCATCCCTCGGGAGGTAGATGGTTTAGCTTTGGAGGCCCTTGTGGATTCCAAGTTACAGCTGGTATCCCTGAAATGCTGGCTCACTCTAGCTCCCATGGGGTAAGCCCAGCTGGTGCCCAGAGGACTTCTTCTCCCAGCGTCAGCCTGTGTCACCTGCCAGGGAACATGGTAGCAAACTCCATCCCCATGTGTCTCCTAGAGCCATATGGCAGGATAAGGGACACATGGGCCTGAAAGAAGCCCTGTATCTTCTCTCACCCAGGTAGGCCATAGGGACTCATGCCACGATCAGAGAGGAGCAGGGTGAGCCCAGCGTTTCCAGCTTCCTGGATAGGCCTGGGAGTGGCGTGGGGTGCTCTAGCCTCTTCCGTACCCTCAGCCTCTATCTGCTTCTCTTCCTTTTGCTCCTACTCCTGCTCCCTGTCTTGGCAGCAGTTCTGATCCTAGTTATGCGCCAAGAGAAGTCTTCCCGCCTCCTCCAGACTCCTGGGAGGATACCCTGATGACTGTAGCCCCATGGGGACAGCTCCTACTGGCCACCCTGCCATCAGGCCGTCCGTCAACTGTGTCCACATATTGCCTGTCCCCCGGGAGCTCTGAGGGAGCTGATGAGACATCTGTTCTCTTCCTGCATGCAGATGGGGCCAGGCCCCCTGGCTCCCCTCCATGGCCTGTTTAGAAGGTTCCAGGGAGACACAGCCCCTTGGGTTTCCCTCTCACATGGTGTGTGTCCAGAATGCTGGGCTCACACCTTCATGTGTCCCTGTAGCTGCTAGATGAGGTTCCTTTGGGAGCAGCGGTGAGCCACAGTGGTAGGGTAGACTTGGGGCCTAGCAGAAATCCACCAGCAGGCCTGGGAGACCAGCGTTTTCTTTTGCCATCTATCCTTCCACCTACCTGTCCATTAGGGGAACGTTTGTTGAGCACTTACTGCATACTAGGTCCTGGGATCCAGCAGTGAGCCACACATAATCCGAGCCCCAAGGAGCACATAGTCTAGTGGGAGAGATGGTCTAGCAGCAGACCATGACTGTGCCCTCCGAGAAGCTCAACCACATGGGCCAGTCCTGGTGCTGGGGGTCCAGCAAAGGGGCTTCAAGTCCAGTCTTGTGGATGGGTCAGCGAAAGCTGACATCTGGGTAGTAGATGAGTGAAGGGGAGGAAAAAGGAAGGAAAATGCTGTCATAAACACATGCCAAGGCCTGAAGTTATAGAGAGAGAGTAACACACTTCAGGAATGAGGCTGGGAAATGGTGTGTGGGAAGGGAGTGTTGAGAGAAGCACTAGGAGGAACCCACGGGAGCCAGGTCACTGAGGCCCCTGTGAGCTGCGCTGGGGACGGGAACTTTAACCAAAGGGCACTCAAGCAATTTAATCAGGGAGCAATAAGAACAGGTTTTGGGAGATCGCTCTGGCTGCTTGTGGAGCATGCTCTAGGGCGTGACAAGGTTGGCTGTGGGGAGGATGGAGAGGGAGTGATTGTGATCCTAGGAGAATGGATGGAGGCCTGGACTCAGGTAGAGGCAGGGGGATGGAGAGCCATCTCAGACTCGAGCAACGAAGGCAGACTTACTCTGGGGTCTTGGTGACCCACTGGTAGGGACCTGAGGGAGAGGAAGGGTCAAGTGACTGGCTGCCAGAGTACTGGGAAGATGCTACGTTCTTTCCCCTTTGATTCCTCAGGGAAAGTTATTGGGGGGCATCGTATTTGGATCAATTACTCTTAAGTTTGCTGAAGGCCAAGTGTTTTCTGAGTCTCGTGAGGTTAGAGGAGGTGTTGGTAAAGTTGAGGATCTTAAAAACCCAGTTGGATGAAAATTCCCCCCTCCACTTCCGTAAGTCTGGATGGGAAAGTCAGGGCCCATTGAGAAGGGGCAGAGGCCAGGCTGGAGACTCAGGCCTTGGGGAGGAGAAGGCGAGTCTGTTCAGTTTGTATCCTCAGTGGGTCCATCCTGGGGAAGGACAAGTGCAGTGCCTTAGGACTAGGCATGTCCTCCTACATCAGGGAGTACAGGACCTCTCTGCTGAGCTCAGAAAAGCCCACCCAGCTAAAACCTGGCCAATGTGGTTGTCCTGCCACGAAGAGCCAGAGGTGCAGGCTGGAAAGCAAGGCCTCCCTGAGCATTTTTTTTTTTTTTTTT